GTCATTTTTGTAACCCAGTCATGGGCAATACGTGGCAAGTGTTAGAATAAGTAAGGTGAGAATAAGAGAGAGCATATGACCATAATAAAAGCTATCTCTGATGCACTCCAAAAGTTAATCTTGGTAGAGTCCCAGGGGATAAAAAAACAATAGGGAGATCAGCCACCACTTTCATGGAGTTGGAACTTTGGTTATACAGAAAACAAATTTGTCTTAACATTTTGTATCAGAGAGAAGAACTACCTATCAGGGTTTAGGGGACTTCCTGTCTTCCTTTTAGTGTCTGGAAGTAAATTCCGAAGCTCAAAGCTCACCTGTTCTCTTGCATTACTTTTCAAATGTTCTTATCAACCTCAGTTACCCCAGCCTAGGTGAAACCAGCCACAGGCACACTGCCCTTCAAAAGGCAGCTCACCTTCCAGTCACCCTCTGCACTGAAACCTAGATTTTCTCGCTTTTCTACCTCTCATAACTATATATATTTCACTAGTTCCCAAACTAGAACCATCTACCTATTCGCAAACCAGGCAGCACAGACTCACATCTTATTTGTTAGATCTAGGAGATAAGGAAGCATCAGTTCATGTTGGTACAAATATTTTTAATATCTAACTTCCTTCTCAGTCATATTTTTTCCCTTGTCAGGAAAGCACTAACTACTTCTATTCAGAATACATCAACTGGAAGGCCCTGGTGGCTCACACTGGTAATTCTAGCTACTCAGGAAGCTGAGTTCTGCAGATTGCCATTCAAAGTCAGCCTGGGCAGACAAAGCAGTAAAAACCCTTACCTTTACTTAGCCAGCAGAAAGCCCAAGTCGAGGTAGAGCACCAGTCTTGAGCAAAAAAAGCCAAGTACAGTGCAAGGGCTTGAGTTCAAGATACAAAACCAAAACCAAAGCATACACACACACACACACAAATATATTTATAGAGTTCATAACAGCAAGTGCAGATGTAATTGGTGAGTGAAGGTTATTTCACACTAAATCATTTGGAACTGTCATGATTCATTTATTCAGACACATCCCTTATTTCCTACCTAGAAAAATGAAAAAAAGAACAATACAAACTAGAATTCTCATTGGCTACTGGCATTGAGCACCTTCATTTCTGAGACCTAGACACTTAAGTCCTTCTAGGGACCCCAGCAGAGTTGTAAAGACCAGTGCTGATGAGGTCTCTATACTCTTCCCCCTTATCCGCACAGTGCCTAGCGAGACTTCTGAACACTCAGAGGCCCTATAAACTATAGTTTATAAAGAGAGAATTGCCCTTGACCATTCTTTCAGCCCTTCCTGAGGCCAGCCCTTCCTTTCTGGCATTTCCTGTATTGTCTAAGTGAAGTATTACAGAATCAGTAATGCATAAAAAAAGACAATGTGACACAGTACAATATGGGGTCAAATTCTTCGCTGAGATTTTGATAGTTACTAATTAAGACTCTAGCATTATGTGAAGAAAGACATTAGAGGGTGGGAAAATGTGGTGCAATTAATAAAGATAAGCTAATAAAACTTCTTATAGGAAAATGGGCCACAGTGATATTGCTAAGTAAATAATTTAATCTGTAATAGTCATATATTTATATTGCTAAATGGATTTTCCTTGTTGACATTATAAAAGTCATCCATTACCCCAAATGTCTACTAAGTCTCAAAAATGTCTGTATTAACCCTCAAAAATTATTTTAATGATACAAAAGATCACATTTATGATTTCCCAAAGCTCTTCATATAACATTCGATTTTTGTTCTTGACAAGAGGTAAAAGTTATAATTAAAGCCAGGCTCATACCTGTAATCCTAACTGCCGAGATCTGAGGATCACAGTTCAAAGCCAGCCTAGGCAGAAAAATCCCCATAAGACTCTTATCTCCAACTAACCACTCAAAACCCTGAAGTGGTGCTAGCCTTGAGCAAAAGAGCTCAATGCAACAATGGTACTCAGTTGACACTATGTTGGAAATGAACTATACAACTTGAGGGGGAAGGGAGTAAGGAGGGATAAGCAGGAAAAAAATGAGGGAGGGAGTAACAGAAATGTACTCATTACCTTACTCATGTAACTACAACCCTCCTGTTCATCACCTTTACAATAAAGATATTTTTTAAAAAGAGAGAGTTTGTTCAAGGATAGCACCCAGGACCTGAGCTCAAGCTCCATGACCAACAAAAAAATAAAATAAAGTTATAATTAAGAAAGAATTAAGTGAATGCAATATAATGCCATAGTTAATACAATTATATGTAATTAGTCATCACTCTTCTTTTTCTTTCTTTTCTTGTGGTACTGGAAATTGAACACAGTGTCTGGTACTTACTTGACTAGGATGGAGTTTTGAAAAGTTATGCCCAGGCTGATCTTGAACCCTGTGCCCTTTTTCTTGATTCTGCAGCAATGTTGACTATAGTATAGGAGGTTGTTTGAATAAAAAGTTTAGATGGTGGGGTTTTTTTTCTCCAAGAGTATGACACCCTAGTTCAATGATTTGAGAAAAATCAAATTTAACTTACGTCATATCTTTTGTGGAATTACATCTGCTATTAGAGAATATCTTCTCTATTGTAGCTAGAAAAACAGAAGATGTCACAATTTTTTTCTTCCTTCCCTGGTTTTTCCTATGTCTCTGATTTTACTCAGAAGCTAACTTTCTACAGAACAAATTTCTCTTCACACCATTCTATGACTTAGATCCCTTAGGTTCCTTTGTACAATATCCGTTTTAAGATACCAATATACTCCCACCTCTCGCCACTAACCAGAATAAACTCGTGCAGTTTAGTAGCCCTTGAAAGCATTAAAGGCCTTCTGGAATGTTCTGAAAACTAAACTGCAAGTTCTATTCCATGATTGCAAAAAGAAAAAGAAATATCCAGTAATTGGGGTTATAGTATTTATATACTATACTATATTATATAATATTAGTATTTATATGCTATTTTATTTATAGGAAGCTAAATTTTTTTCTGTGATGAACTTTCTTTCAAATGGGAAGTTTTGGTCAATTAAAATAATGAACTATAATAGAAATGCCTTTCCAGATTTAGTAAGCTTGCTTTCGTCGATAGAGAACTATCATCATGAAAAGCATGCCAAAGGCATGTATTCTGGGACCAATTAAAACGCTCTTTTATGACATCATCAGTGTGGCAAAAATGTTGCAGGAAATTCTGCTCTGTGTCTATAACAAGCAGGATGATCAAAATCAACATATCACTAATAATGTAGCCTTAGTACCTGAACATACTCCTCATTTCTTTTTATACCTTCCCTACACACCTACCTATGTATGTGTGAACAGAATACTTTTCCTCTAACCACTAACTAGTTCATCAGATTATTTCACCTGCTAGCTTCCTCCTGTCTCCTTCACACTCCGCGAGTGTTAGGACCAGATGAATAACTCTGGCAGATAATAGACCACCATTTTCAACATATAACTTTCTTTTGCCATTTCTTAAAGTGTATCAAAGTAAAGCCATGGGCTAAGAAAAGCAAATAATCAGGAGTTTATTTTACTGAACTTTTTAAAAATGAAAAAAAAGAAAGAAAAAGGAAAACCTAAATTTCCCTCATACCCAGGATGGAAAGATATAGGGAAATAGCTAAATGCAAATCTTTGTCTCAATTCTGTTCAAACTAGTCTGACAGAAGATGAGATACAGAAGAAAAACATTAGCTTCGCATTACTAGACAATATGACATACCATATATTTAGATCATTTCCTATGAAATGATTTCTGAATCAGGCCTCCTTTAAAAAAATTCTATGATAACAAAAAGTTTAAGAACGACAGTGGGTCCTCCTACTCATCCTTTTTTTGGTGTGCCTGACCATGGCAGCGCTGTGCCCCTAAAGTACAGATCTGTTTGAATGGCAGAGCTCTTACCAATGATTAGTGGAACTTGGGCCAGATTGGCGGGACTTTTCTCCTCACAAGAGGACCTACAAGGGTGAACAGTTTTCTTTAAAGCAGAAAATCAAAGTAAGAGAAGTCGATGACATCAATAAGGGGAAAGAAATTATGCTTTTAGAAGTTGCGAATCTTCTTTGCCCTTGAGATGGTATGCATCTGGAGTTCGTTGACAATTATCATAATTACTGTTAAGAAATGTGGAGTTATGTTCAGCTAGCATCTAGAAGTCCTAGAAAGAAGAAATAACTCCTTGGAGTTGATGGTAAAGGACTGAATGGTGGGACACCAAGACAACAAAATGCACTTGGTTTTAGAAACCAACAAAAGCCACTGTTTTGGGATGTTGTTGGTGTTGTTTGTTTGTTTTCTGGAGCGAAGTTCTGAAATATAAGCAAAACAACAACAGACCTATGAAAAGCATAGGCAATTGAAGTTTGGAACCTGAAGCCCCAGTGTGATACCCTTGTTTACACAGCAGCTCCAGTAGTTCTGCCCTACAGAAGGGATCTAGGAAGGCAAAAGTACCAACAGGACGATTTGAAGCACATTTTAGGTACCATAAACATTCCAGCCACTCTCCTGGGATCTATAAAGGCAGTTTGTTCTAAATGGTTTTCACGTCCACCCTGGAGAGCCCATTCACTCTTTCTGAAAAGACTCCTCTTTCATCTCTAGATATAGAAGCCTCCAACCAGCTCATGACTTTTAGAAGAAAGTATAACAGCATGAAAAGCAAAGGTTTTAAGTGAACTGTGCTCCTCCCCTCTCTGACCCCAGAGCTCCTGTTTAACATAGCAAGTGTACTTTTGCGAATGCTCTGCATGTTCTAATTTGAAAGGTGGGATAAGAAAACAGCTCCTCCTCCGGACACCAACTTGACCCTGTTTAATCACAGCAGTCAGAAACTAGTTCCCCTCCTCCCTCCTGCTACCCCTTTTGGACTAAAATGCCCTTGCTAGCTACAGTGTTTGCACATTTCCTTGTTAATCAGCTGCGTCGGCTGGGAGACTGTATGTTTTGGTGTTGTTTGTGTGCGCAATCTCGTGCTGCTTCCTGAACGCATGTGTCCCTTCCTTCACAGCCTACTCGACACCCAGCACCTCCCCCGCAAACCGATTCGTCAGTGTTGGACCACGGGATCCAAGCTTTGTAAATATCCCTCAACAGACACAGGTGGGCCGCTCTCATCTTTTCTGTATGTGATGCAGCTTGTATTATTCATCAGGTGCATTTTGTTAACTGGTCTCCAGGCACAGCAGGCCGCATGGCCCAGCCCCTTTTCCTCCTGACTCTGGTCCCCCACCAGCCCACCCTCCACCCCCCTCCACCCCCAGCCCTTCAGCCACATTTCCCTGTATTCTCAAGGAATCCAAGCAAACACACCATCCGGTTTTGCTTGTGGTGCTGGGAGGGAGATCAGCCACTCCTCTGTGTTCATTATAGTTCCCCAGAAACCTGGCAAGCTTTCTAAAAGGAAGCGGTGGGGGGAAGGGTTTTTTGAGCCCTATTAAGTTGCTGTGAAGTTCCAGAAATAGGAGGCATTTAGAGGGGTGACTGCTGGCCTCTGGGAAACATGGAGAGGGTGGGCAGGGAATGAATAGGATGCATGTTTGAAAGAGGTGTGCAGAATGTCCACACCTCATCGGGACACACTGGGTAAATACGTTCAGGTCCTGGGACTGTAGTTCAAGGAGAAAAGATCTTTCTTGAAAAACAGTTTCAGAGTGGCTGCTGAGAATTGAGAAGCAGTGAGCCTTTGTATTCCCAGGTACATGTGTAGAAGAATCTCGGGCTAGAATTAGGTTCAAGTTTTGATTTAAGAATAAACTGTTCTCTGAGGGATTGGAACACGGCTCAGTGAGTAGAGCGCTCGCCAGTGAACAAAGCCAGTGGCAGGTACGGAGTTTAAGTCCCAGTCTCGGACCTGAAAAAGAAATCTACTCCCTGATTTTCTAATGAGAATGGGATCCTATCTTATCCTAATTGATACAAAGGAAAATATTTTCTCCATAAGGTTCTTAGCAAGGTGTTGGAAAAATTATTGAGTGGTTTAGGGCCTATACCTGGGTGTGTCATCCCTAGATGCCAAATTAGTAATTTGTTCATCTGTTTGTAAGGATGTGACCGGAGTGGGGGTAATGGATATAACAGGCCTGCCTGCCTAGGTTCAAATGCTCCATCTTCACAGGGCTTTGCTTACAGCTCTGTGGACAGCACAGGCTGACCCACACTGACTCTGAAGATTCCCTTCACCCGAGCTGGGTCACAGGAGCACAACACTCCTGGAGCAGGGAGAGTCAAGGATGCAGAGGGGGCTGCCTCTTGGATTTCTCACTTCTGTTGTTTCTTCCTAAACTGGCTTGTACATAGTGTCCAGTATTAAAATCTCCTATTTCATTCCTCCCATAAACATCCAGTCATTTGCTTATTTTTTTTCCAATACTGTCAAAGATTCAGATATTTTCCTGGTGAGTTTGAAATTGCATCATCACCTTAAAACCCATCTATGTTGAAAACAAACCAAAAGTTTAATATTTTCCTTTGTTCTTTTATCCTCAGATTCTATGAAAAAGGACAATTGGGGCTGGTGCCTCTTTGTTGGGTGGTCACTTTATTTTCCCAAAGCTTGAGTTACTTTATTAAGAACCTTAAAAAATAGAACTTCTAGAATGGCCTGTTTGTACTTTACGGAATATTTTTATATAAGCTGTGACTCAGAACATTGAAATTGTACCCTATGTTCCATTCAGCTCATTTCCTCTACAGTCAAAACGTGTTATAGTCCAATATCTCTTTGTCTCACAAATGCCTTATTTAACCCAGGAACTCGGTCTTCATGAGGCTGACCACAAAAATTCAACTCTTAAAAATCCAAATTTTCCACGCATCTGGTTGGATGATGTCATGTAAACTCAGTATTGGCATCTGGAACTAAAGTCCTTTGGTTTGCATTAAATATTTGGCATTACAGAGACAACAGCTTAGATGTTTCTTTAAAAAAAAAAACTGACACCTGCCACATTTGGCTTGAAGAAAGCTATTCCTAATTGTCTTATGAGAAACTTTGCTAATGGAGTTGTCATTTGTTCATACATGTGAATATGTGTGCAGGTGCGCATGCCTTGAGATAAAAATTGTGCACTCTAAATATTTCAATGTGTACATGTTAACTTTTTTGAAAAGAAACTACTTTCTAGAACTGTTTTAAGTAGATAGATACAATAATTATCAATAGACCTAAATGCAGGCTCCCTCTCAGGGAGACATTGGCCTAAAAGAGGGAAAGTTTGACAGGAATTCTCTAAAACATAATTGAAACAGAGTCTGCAGATTAATTATTGCATTTTTCTATGTTGATATAATCGTTACAAAGCCAGAAATATGTATTTACTGAAATATAGGAAAAGGTTTTTCTGGGAAAGCAGAATTTTGCTTTCTACCTCTGGTAAACCCAAGCAGATTTTTGAGCTTTCTCAGTGCAGAAGAGGTATACTCTACTTAAGTCTGTGAATAAATGTAAGCTAAAAATCTGTCCCTCAAAGATATGTTCCCATTGGAAGTGTCTCAAAATACTCAAAGCATCATCCTATAGAAGATGGGTTAGAGGTAATCCGGTTTTATTTCCTAGAGGGTATAAACCAATATATATATATATATATATATATATATATATATATGGATACATACATATATATGGATATATACATATGTATGGGGGTGTGTGTGTGTGTGTATGTGTGTGTGTGTAGGTTTTTGACTTACAGAAAGAACGTCCTGAAGAAAAATGAGTTACTTGATTGCATGCTGCCTCTATTTATGAGTGTTTCCTACATGCTACATATTTTAGGACATTACCTGGCTAATCTTTATAACTACCCCAATGCAAGAGATATAATTGTCTCCACTTTACAGATGTGGAAATCAACACCGAAAGACCTGGTTGATTTTTTTCCAAGGACATCAGACTGTAAGGAGTGAAAATTAAATACTGAGTTCTCTGTGATGGCAAAGCCTATACTCTCTAAGCATTCTAACTGTACTGCTCCCTGGACATATCCAGAGACTGACGTTTAATTCTCAAGAATACCATAGCATCTTCCTGCTTTTATATCTGAAATCACATTAAAATCTTATCATTAACATCTATCCAAGTTTCAAAGGGATATTTGTACAATCCAAGTGTCTATCAGCACACAGATCACTAAATAAAATACAGTTGCCATATATAGTGGAATGCTCTTCCTTAGAAAGGAAGAGAATTCTGATCCATGCCTCAGCATAGATGAGTCCTGATGACATTACAATATGTACAGTAAGTCATAGATAAATGTTGTATGATTCTGCTTACCTGAGATACCCAAAACTGCCAAATTGATAGAAACAGGAAATGGAGGTGTGGTTCAAGGGGGAGAGCACCAACCTTAAGCATAAAGAAAGAATATGAGTTCAAACCCCAGCATTGGCATGATAGAAAGAAAGAAAGAAAGAAGGGAGGGAGGGGGGAGGGAGAGAGGGAGGGAGGGAGGAAGAAAGAAGAAAGGAAGGAAGGATAGAAATAGAAAGTTGCCAGTGGTCAAGGGGAGGGTAGTATGTGGAGTTGAAGTTTCCCATAATGGGAGGATTTTTGAGATGATGGTGATGGTGTTCACACCACAGTGAGTGTCCCCGGTACCTCTGGACTGTACATTCAAAATGTTGTTCAGATGATCAAGCTGTGCATCTCACCACCATTTAAAAAGTGTAATCAAGCCGGGCGCTGGTGGCTCACACCTGTAATCCTAGCTACTCAGGAGGCTGAGATCTGAGGATCGCGGTTCAAAGCCAGCCCGGGCAGGAGAGACTGTGAGACTCCTATCTCAAACCACCAGAAAACTGGAAGTGGCGCTGTAGCTCAAGTGGTAGAGCCTCACCTTGAGCTGAAGAGCTGAGGGACAGCGCCCAGGCCCAGAGTTCAAGCCCCACGACTGACCAAAAAAAAAAAAGTGTAATCATTAGCGCAATTAAAGGCTTACCCTCTCAAGAGGATAAACTACTACATTCTCCTGCCAGGCACGTAATAGGTACTCTACACACAGGGAGTGAATTTAATTTACAAAGAAGTTTTTAAATGATGGCTTTTTCCTATTACAGTACTGAAACATATTAACTATGGAAAGTACAGATGAGAAAAATAATAAAAATCACTTGTAGTCCTACTGCTAACATTTCCTTATAAATCCATCCCAACTGTTTCTACACATACAAATAAAATTGCAAAATGAGATCATATTATATACACTGTTCGGTAACCTGCTGTTTCTTCCCCTTACCAGTACATTATGGCTTTCTTTCCATGTAAATTGGAAAAATTGAATATTGGCTTTTATTGCACCTATTCATCATCTGTAATGATTGGTAGGGAGAGATAACAAGGGTAATTGAAAGCCATTTTTCCTTCCTTCCCTTCCAGTCTGGTTTTCTTTTTTCTCCAGAGAATTTCTCCTTCTGCTGAGGCAAACTTGCATCCTCCTTAGATTTGTGGTGAGCTACTTTCCTCTCTCCTGCCTTCCAATTGTATTCGGGAAGTCTCATCCTTCTTTTGGACAGTGCTTAAACGCTCCTGCAAGCTACCTGCCCTTTTCTTCTGCCTCCAGCCCCCTCCATTTTGCAGGCTCTTCTCCTTTACATGAGGAGCACCTGTGGACAGCCACCTGCTCAGAGAAACCAGCACTCACTCCACGCTTCACCTCTTATTTTTCAATAATATCCCAGGCCAGTGAAAATTAACATAAAGAAAAGTCTCTGAGCATAAAGTGTTTACATCACTTGGGACACTGTTACCATTGTCTCAAATAGCAGAATGCCAATGAACATATCTGTTTCATCCCATGATTTAATCTTGTTTCTGGAAACAAGAGCCATTAGAAGAAAAGGGGTTTGCTTAGAGGAAGGGGAAGTAAAGTTAATGTTTCGTCATCAGCTAGTAAATAGAAATGCTAGTTCTGACACAGAAGAAGTGAAAAGGGAACTGATTTTGATTCAGGCACTAGTGTAATCAGAATGTTCAAGTAACAATGCTTAACCTGCGGAACTCCAACCAGGACTAATTCCTGAAAATGAAAAATGAGTGCAAACAATATTTAAAATAGGCATTTCCTCCCTACCACCCAAATCTACCATTATTCGCATGAACA